CATTTAACAAAATTCTCGTGATTTTTTATTCCCACAAGAACTTTCAAAGTATACATATGATTCTCACAAGACACAAGATTTTAGAAATGACAAACCATTAGAAGCCACATTGTTCAGAAATGTGGATGTAACTGCCCTCATTCACATTCATAGTTACTTATCTATTAATAGTAGTATGCAAGAACCTATGTGACAAGGGCAGCACTGGCCAATAAGAGCACGTCTATTTGGACTTTGTAAGCATTGATTTTTTTTCTTGTATCTAAATTAAACATTTTTCTACATCATATTCTTAATCCATTAATGTATTGCCATATGTTTAAATTACATGACATTTCTCACCCTGATTGTATAAGCTGTATCACCGATATCTCACTTCTCCATTTCTAGTGGTACCATCTGGGTTAAGCTTTAGTTCATGTCAACACTTTCCTGCCTAATTTCTCAGTATCTCCCCTTACCTAGCACCAACCAATCCTGATGGCTCCAGTGATTTCTTTTCTTTTCTCTTTTAATTTCAAATTATTATGAGGATACAAATGCTTTTGGTTACATAGATAGCTTTTGTAATGCTCGAGTCAGGGTTAGAAGTGTGCCCACCACCCAGATAGTGTTCACTGTACCCATTAAGTAAGTGTTTGCCCATCTCCTCCTTCTCCCTGCCTGCTGCTTGATTTCCTTTGAGATTTACTTCCCTCAATGCACATGTGTGCTCATCAGTTAGTTCCAATTTAATACTCAGTGCAAATGGTGTTTGTTTTTCCATTCTTTAGATAATTCACTTAAGATAATGGTCTCCAGTTCCATCCAAATTGTTGCAAAAGGCAATAATTCATCATTCCTCGTGGCTGAGTAGTATTCCATGGTTTACATATATCACATTTTCTTATCCACTCTGAATTGATGGGCACTTGAATTGATTCCACACCTTTGCAATTGTGAATTGTGCTGCAATAAACATTCAAGTTCAGTTGTCTTTTTGATAAAATGATTTATTTTCTTCTGGGTAAACAACCAGTAGTGAGATTGCTGGATCAAATGGTAGGTCTACTTTTGGTTCTTTGTGGAGTCTCCATACTGTTTTCCATAGAAGTTGTACTCATTTGCAGTCCTACCAACAGTGCATAAGCATTCTTTTGTTTCTAAATCCATGCCAGCATCTATTGTTTTTGGACTTTTTAATAAAAATCATTCTGACTGGGGTAAGGTGATATCTCATTGTGACTTTGGTTTGCATTTTCCATGTTTTCATATGTTTATTGGCCAGTCATCATTTCTAAGGTCATAATGATCATATTACATTATTTCTCCTCCAAAACATTCAGTGGATCTTACATACTTTATTAAAAATCCTACTGCTCTCACCATCTGCATTGCAAAATGTATATGCATGTAACAGATACAGACTTTGTATTTTGTATGTTTACTTACTCTTGTTAGGAAAAATCTGCTTCTCAAGAATGCTCTCACATGTTACTGAGTAGACATTGACTAAAGAGATTCCTTCAGAAATAATCCTTTTCTCCCAGTAATGTGTAATTCAATTCAGCCCTTTAAATAGTCTCAGAAGACATATAGCAATCTAGAGTAGGCTTTTTTCATTGTTTGCATAGAGAAATGTTGAATAATTAAGTGAATACTTACATAGCATCCAATATGTTGCAAACACCATATTAAATGATATTAACACCATGGTAATCTCAAAATAATCTCTCCCTTTTGAATCTAGTGCAGAGAGTCAATCTTCAGGCAGTGAGAACAATGAAATTACGAGAGGAAAGGAAAAGTAACAGGGTTGGGGAACAAGTGGAATATCGTAGCTGGTTCTATAATTCCTGCTTCAGTCCCTCATTAGGTCTATCTTTAACTTGTTTACTTTATTCATTTTTTTGTGAAAAGTTAGAATTCTTTTTCACAGATGATTCTATTGTCCACTTTAGCCAATATAGGATATGTAAGATGTTCCCAGTTTCTCATACATTTTTAATTCTGTGCTGTTGAACACCAGCACCACTACAGCCAGTGATGGGATATAAGTTGCATAGTTTTATAACTTGGGTCATTTGGATGTCCACTCTACTAATACATTATTTTGTAGCCAACTTTGATTTATGTCTCACAATATATTACCTAATCAGCTGGACTCATGCCATAAGCTCCAAAGCTTAAGAACTATATGATCCTCTTAAAGATATTCTATTCCTTGGCAAGCAGACTCCTCTTTTTAGGTACAAAACCTATATTTAATTAATTATCCATACAAGGATATTAGAAAGTTACAGTGATAAGACAAAGATTCATTTAGGATTGTGGGAGAAACACAAGGAATATTGGATTTTATGAGATTAAATACATCTTCGTGAAAAGAGACACAATCTTGGTCATAAGAGCACTCCAGCCTAGGAAAAATTATCTTTTATTTAAGTTTTTAAAATTTATCTATGGTAGTAAAAAACATACAACATGAAATATGTACTTAACAAATGTTTATGTGTACAGTACCATATTGTTAAATTTATGCACATTGTTGTATAGTAGTTCTCTAGCACTTTTTCATCTTGCATGATAAAATACCTATTGGATTGCAACTCTCCCTATTCACCTTTCCCAGTCCCTAGCAACCAGTATTCTGTTCTCTGCTTTTATGAGCCCAGCTTGTTTTTAGATATGTCATATAAGTGTAATCACACAGAATTTTCCCTTTTGTGACTGGACTTAGTGTAATGTCCTCAGGGTTTATCTATGTTGTATCATATGACAGAATTTCATTCTTTATTTAAACTGAATAATATTCCAGTGTACGTACATACCACATTTTCTTTATTTATCTGTCAATGGATACTCAGGGTGTTTCTAAATCTTGGCTATTGGGAATAATGCTGTAATGAAGATGAGAGTACAAAATCTCTTCAACATACTGATTTAAGTTATTTTCAATAAATATTCAGAAGTCGTTTTAAATTGTATTCAAATGAATAATACGGTAGTTCTATTTACTTTTTGAGAAACATTCATACTGTTTTCTGTAGTGACTTAACCATTTTATATTCCCACCAACAGTGCACAAGGGTTCCAATTTCTCCTTGGCAAACCTTGTTATTATTATTTTTGTAATGGCCATCCTAACAGATTTTAAATAATTTCTCATTGGGGTTTGATTTGTATTTCCCTGATGATGAACACTTTTTTATATAACTCTGGGCATTTGTATGTGTCTTTGGAGAACTGCCTACTTAAGTCCTTTGCCCATTTTTTAATTGAGTTATTTAATTTTTTTGCTGTTGAGTTGTATACATTTTGGATATTAACCCTTTATCAGATGTTTGGTTTGCAAATATTTTTTCTCATTCTATAGGATGACTCTTCACTTGGTTAATTATTTCCTTTGCTACACAGAGCTTTTAAATTTGATATAGTCCCACTTACTCATTTTTGTCTTTGTTTCCTTTGCTTTTGGTATCATATACAAGAAATCATTGACAAGACCAGTACTACATAGGCTTAGCCTTATGTTTTCTTCTAGGGGATTTATAGTTTCTGGTCTTACATTTAACTCTTTACTTCATTATGAGTTCTTTTTTGTGTATAGTGTAAGAAAAAGGTTCAATTTCATTTTTTCTTTATTTGTTTTATTACAACCAAATACTCATGACTACAGTGATATTCTTCAGTGTTATCTGATTACTGTTAGGATAACATATGCACTTTATGAGATAGATTAAGCACACCATGCTACTAAGCTCTCCAATACTATGTCCTCAAAGAGACCCCATTCACTAGCTGTCTCTTTTCACTAATATAAATCTGACCTACACTGAAATCAGCTCATTTATCTGGTTATTTTTTGTGTGTGTTTCTATCACTAGGATGCGATACTATAGAAAATGAATTGTATTAATTCTTGCATTTTCTCTATAAAATACATTTTGTACATATTAGGCAGTGGAAATTATTTGTTAAATGAAAGGGCATTCTACCTTAATCTTATTTATTGAGGTAAAGTCATTGCATCACTAAGTCCTATATCACCACCTTTGGATTAACATGCCCTCATTTTAATTTCAGCACAACAACTGCCTCAAGGGATTTGAGCAAACCTTTTCACATCAATGAATCTTAGCTTTATCATCTGTAAAAATGAATAGGCAGTTTAGAGCTTTCATATTTAATGTGATCAAGTTACCCAGGATTAATGGGAGAGTGGAAAGAGGGGATAATGAATACAAAGTAAATAGTATAAAAATGTTAAGTAATGTAGTACTACCTTAACCCCTAAAGTATGTTGAGAGTCATTATTATATAACACATGCAGTTACAATATAGTTATTTAGAGAGTAAAGAGGACTGATAAAGGAAGGAGATGATATAAGGAAATAAACAACATAACAATGCCATCCTTGCTTTTTTCCCCATTTCTGACCCATACTACCTTTATTGGTACTCTTATACTCTTTTTATACTCTTATTGATTACTGAATTTTTCATTTTGCTGAATTCCTGCATGTGTGGTTACTACTAGATCTTCATATAGGCTAGGAGTTCTTTCTTTTTCCTTTCTTCCATCTGCATATTCATTTTTTCTTTTCTTTTTTTCTCATCTTCTTTTTTTACTTTCTTCACATTTCTTGTGTTGTTAAGATTCAGCTTAAGAGATTTGGCTTGAGAAAATTGTGATGAAAATATCTATTTGTATACTGCAATTCCTAAGTCAGAAAGAATTTTCTCTTTTCCCCCTGTGTATTTAAAAGATTAAGCACTGCATTTGTTCAAATAAAGAATGATTCATAATTTATAAACCTCACTTGAGCAAGAATTATTTCAAAATGCAATCTACAAAACTATTTAACATCTTAATAATCTAAGGAATAAAATTTGGTTACACAAAAGTTGCTATTGAATTTTTATTTATGAGTGAAAATACCAACAATTTATAACAACATAATTATATTTACTTGATGTTCAAGAGTTAACATAGCTTTTAAATAATCATTCAACATATGAAAAGGATGTTCAGCTTTATTAATAATCAAGAAAATACAAATTTAATTCACATGGGGGACTGCTGTACTGATACTGCCTGAAAAGATGTCAGCACTAACAAAACTGTAGCTGTTATTATTTCTGCAGGTAGTCTGTCATGCAAAGTCCATACTGCCTTCCAGTTATCCATCTGCAAAAAACACCACACCATTATTTCTTTTTTATGAGTAGATTACCTCCCAGATTATCCTCATATCTTTATTTGTATTTATAGTCTTTCACTGTTAATACTTTTTACATGGTTGCCTAATAATTCCTGTCTAGTGTGTAAAATTTGTATATATTTTATAGAATCTAATTTATTTCTTTAGACTAAAAATAATTGATCAAATAATTAACTACTTTATCCATCTATTTCAGTTAGGGTGATCAAAAATTTTGAGTCAAAATTTTATTTCTCTCTCCTCAAGTGTTAAATCTCTATCCTTGCTAATGGTGTTCCCAATTTCCCTTGCACCACTTAATTTCTTCCAAAGTTACATAAATAGGCCTCCCGTTAACCTCTTGTATTCCACTTATTTCTCCTCCATCAACATACACTATCTTAATGAATTGTAGCTGGGCAGTAGGGGAAATATTTCAATGAAGATTCAAAATGAAGACTATGCCATTCTCACCTCACAGTTACAACCTTTTGTCTCATAATCATTTTGTATAATATACACAAAAGTAAATATTACTGTTAACCTTATTGTACAAAAGATAAAAATGGACGTTCTTATTTATTTAAAAATGTATATTTCAAAATACATACTGATTTTCAGGCATTCCTTCCCTCCTATAATATGTATTAATCTGCACAATATATGGTGTCCCATGAATTACTTTAAATCTAAGATCTCTTATTTAACTAGGTCTTTATGTCAAGACAGCAAGTGTGGATGAGTGTTTCTCTATTTTCTTTTAATTGAATAGCCAGTTTTCATAATCTTTGTCAATATGAGAGTTTAACTGGGTTAAATTCCAATACAAGTAATTAAGAGACATCACTTTGGAATTAATTAAAAGAGAAGTCATGCTAATTCTGAAACCAAACTACTAAAGTCTGTAACTTGATAAAAAGTCTCCAGTTTCATAGTTAGAAAGGTGCTAATTATTTGAAGATGTAACAACACTGTCAAATTCCTCAATGGTTATAAACTCTTATAAATAATAAGGTAATAAAATCCTTTAACTTTAGCATAAATATATGCTCTAAAAAAACGATAGCAAGACCCACATTGAAGATTTAAAACTGATGAGTTAGTGTAATGCCAAATGCACATAAAGATAAGTTCTGCAAATTTCCCATGAGAGATGATTCATTACTTTGAGGACGTCGATCAGACAGATGTTATATTGAGTTATTTCCTCTAGTTCCTCTCATTTATCCTTCACTTGCCAGTATATGTGAGAAATACAGTTTTTGTGGGCTGATGTTCCTTCCTAATGTTCATCTTTTGTTCTCAGCTCCTGGGGCTTTGAACATGCTTGTGTCTATTTTTGCAAGGAAATGATGGCATAATTAATTTTTGAATAGTAATGTTCTCTGAGTAATTATTCAGTAAATAATCATCTAGCACTATTCAAAACTGCATATATTTGCAAATGAAACAGTTATACTTTGAAATCTTGTCTGAGGCACATCAACACATTAAGAGTAAATTATATAAGTCTAAATTTGTTTATAATTTTGGTTTTTATTTTATTGTATTAAGGATATTTATCATGTTCATTAGATTGCCTGTGCCTAGCCCAGAACCAAGATAGAAGGTAGCAAACCATTGAAATTTATGTATTTACTGAACGTAGTTTTAACTATAGTAGTTAGTGGTCTCTAGTACCATTAAACATGAGTTTACATCATAAATTCAACACTTGCTAAAGTACAAACCTTATTGAAATACTAATTATGATATATTTTAAAAAGGAAGAACAAGGTGGGAATCAGACCAGTATTGAGATAGGTAAAATTATGGAATAAAAATGAAACTGTTAGTCAGGGCATCTCTCTCCTAGGAGTAACTGAAGCTAATTTCTGAAACTTAAATGTTCAATATTCTCCCTTGTACTTGGGGCTCTTGGTATAACTTATCTCCAAGACTCTTTCCCATTTAATGATTTGAGTTTAGTAGAAAACTATTTGTTCATATAATTCACCCTGTGTTTTTTGTTTGTTTTATCAATGCAAAAGCCATTAGAAAAACTATACTGACTTATGTACCGAATTATATGAGCAGATCTCTGTCAGAATGCAAAATGTTAAAAACTAGATATTTCTCATCAATGAGCCTGCCACTGAAAGAACATGGACTTTGGAGTAAGAAAATGTGTACTTAACCCATACCTCTGTTGCTTGTCTGTCACTGAGTGATGTTGAACATATATATTTCATCTCTAAAACAGTGAAAAGAAATAGTAAATTTTAGAGGTATTGGGAAGATTAGCAGTGATATATATGAAACAAATATCATAAAGCCTGTCATAACAGAATTCATAATATAATAAGTCATTACCAAAACTAATAATCTGGGGTGAATGTCTAGAGGGACCTTGAAGGATGAACCCTAACAAAAACTAAATCTACCATGAGACTACTGGAATTGATGAACAAATTCAGCACAGTCTCAGGTTACAAAATCAATGTACAGAAATCAGTAGCATTCCTCTATGCCAACAACAGTCAAACTGGAAACCAAATCAAAGACTCAATAACCTTCACAATAGCAACAAAGAAAATAAAATACTTAGGAATATATTTAACTAAGTAGGTGAAAGACCACTACAGGGAGAACTACAAAACACTGAGGAAGGAAATAGCAGAGGACATAAACAGGTAGAAAACCATACCATGCTCTTGAATTGGCAGAATCAACATTGTTAAAATGTCTGTACTACCCAAAGTGATCCACAGATTCAATGTAATACCTATTAAAATACTAACATCATTTTTCACAGATCTAGAAAAAATAATGCTACCCTTTGTATGGAACCAGAGAAGACCCTGCATAGCAAAAGCAATCTTAAGCAAATTGAACAAATTGGGCGGCTTCAATTTACCAGAATTCAAGTTATACTTCAAGGCTATAGTAACTAAAACAGCATAAAATTGGCACAAGAACAGAGACATAGACCAATGGAACAGAACTGAGAACGCAGATATAAAACCATCCTCATATAGTCATCTAATCTTTGACAAAGCAGACAAAAACATACACTGGAGAAAAGAATCCTTATTCAATAAATGGTGCAGGGAAAATTGGATAGCCACATGTGGAAGATGGAAACAGGATCTGCAACTTTCACTTCTGACAAAAATCAACTCATGGTGGATGACAGACTTAAACCTGAGGCATGAAACTATAAAAATTCTAGAAGAGAATGTTGGAAAATTTCTTATAGATATTGGCCTATAGAAATAATTTACAAAGAAGACTCGAAAGGTAATCACAGCAACAACAACAACAACAACAAAAATGGTACCTGATCAAATTAAAAAGCTTCTGCACAGCCAAGGAAACTATCATAAGAGCAAACGGACAAGCTACAAAATGGGAGAAAATATTTGCATGCTACACATCCAATAAAGGGCTGATAACTAGAATCTATATCTAACTTAGGAAAATCTGCAAGAAAAAATCAAACAACTCCATTAAAAAGTAGGCAAAGGATATGAACAGAAACTTTTAAAAAGAAGACTAATGGCCAACAAACATACAAAAAAAAAGCTCAACATCTCTATTCATCAGGGAAATGCAAATTAAAATCACAATGAGATATCACTCAACTCCAGTGAGAATAGCTTTTATCAAAAAGTCCTAAAACAATAAATGTTGGCATGGATGCAGAGACATAGGATCACTCACACACTGGTTGTGGGACTAAAAACTAATACAACCTTTGTGAAAAGTAATATGGAGACACCACAAAGAGCTACAAGTAGAACTACCATTTGATCCAGTAATGCCATTACTGGGCATCTACCCAAAGGAAAAAAAAAAAAAAAAGCATTATATAAAAAGAAATCTGAACTAGGATGTTTATAGCAACACAAATCACAATTTCAAAGATGTGGAAACAACCCAAGTGCCCATCAATACATGAGTGGATTAATAAAATGTGTTATATGTATACCATGGAGTTCTACTTAGCCACAAAAAGCAATGGTGATCTAGCACCTCTTGTATTATCCTGGATAGGGCTGGATACTACTAAGTAAGTATCACAAGAATGGAAAAACAAGGACCACATGTACTGACTGTCAAATGGTATTAACTGTTCAACACTTATGTGCTCATGTAGTAGTAACATTCATAAAGTGTCGGTCAGGTGGGAGGGAAGAGGAGGGGATGGGTTTATTCACACCTCCTGTGTGTGGAGCCCACTGTCTGAGGGATGGACACACTTAGAGCTCTGACTTGGTGGATCAAAGGCAATATATGTAACCTGAACATTTGTACCCCGCTAATATGCTGAAAAAGAAGTTCTGCTGTTTAATAGTATAGCAAGGAAATTATAATTAACAATGATTTATTGTATATTTCAAAATAGCCAGAAGAGGATAATTTTTATGTTCCCAGCACAAAGCAAAATAAATGTTTGAGGTGATAGATATCCCAGTTACTCTGATTAGATCATTACATATTATATACATATATTGAAATATCACATGTACCCCCAAAATATGTACAACTCTGATATATCAATTAAAATAAAAATAAAACCCTAATTTGTCTTGGATAAAAGAAAACTTTATTTCAATACATTTACTAAGTAAAAGTTATTGAATGTCGCTACTAGACAGTTTTGCCTATGGTATCGCATTCCATAATCACAATCATCTTATGAGATAGCTATTCAGGATAAAAATCAATAAAAACCGAAAATCACCACATACAGCTCATCTCCTTGTAGCATCTGCTCCCACTAGAATCTGTCTGTTTATTTACTATTCAGTGCCTTCAGAGAGCTGCTTTTTATGTTGCAGTCAGGATTTATAGCTTTAAGCTAACAGAATGTCCGATAACTTTACTCAGAAAGCTTTACTCAGAACCTCAGAGAGGGCATATGTTCCACTTCTCTCTTCTTAAAATGTAAATTTGATCATTCTTTCTCACATTGTTCTAGGAGAAAGCTCAAAGTACTATTTTTTCCTGCTTCTTAGTATTTCTAATACAGCAAAGGTCTCAGCTTGCCCTGCCAGGTTGTGCTCCCTGGTTCCTGGTTCCCAATATTGAAGAATGGTTACTGGTACCCAGTGGACGGAACATACGAGCCAGCCAAAGGGATATAAGCAAGCTAAACAGCAAGGTTTATTGAGCACAGAACGTCTTGGAGAGGGGACTGGTCTATCCCTGGGAGTGAAGGCAACCGAGTTTGGAAAGGGATCTGGTTTCTTATCCTATTTTCTTAGTAATATGCTAAGCTGGGTGTGGATTATTCATGAAGTTTCAGGAAAGGAGTGGAGAGTTCCTAGAATTTTGATACCTCCTCTTTTCTGCCTTTATAAGGTAGTTTCTGGGGTTGCCATGGCATTTGTAAACTGTCATGGCCTGGGTGGGTGTGATTTTTACTATGCTAATAAGGGATAGTTCACCAAAGACCACTGCCAGCTCATCTGTGCACAGACCCCAAGTTGTTTATTTCTGCAGCTGTGCCATCTCTTAGGCTTTTTTGTGGGTTTCTTGCTCCCCTCTCATTGGCCTGCAACAGTATCTCTACGGAATCTCGCTCACTTGGCTTCTGCACCTGTTTCCCCTCCCTCGTGGTCCCTAACGCGCCTTCTGCATTTCTCAAGATGATTCATTCATACTGGTCTTCTCCTTCCTTTAATCTCCTTTTGACTCTCTTTCTAGGGCTTTCACTTACATAGTTTCTAGGGCTTTCACTTTCACAATTGACAGAAATGTCTTTTCTTTTCTTCTCCACCTACTTGCTCTGCTGAAACGCATTTATCTCAAAATAACCAACACTGTTCTCCTATTCAAGAATAGGATCCACTCATCAATTTTCTCATAGCACTTCATAATTTTTCATCACGCTTAGGTCATCCATTAGATTTGAATGTTCAGAGATACATTCAATCATAACAAGGAACACATCATATGCAGTGGTTCTTCCATAGTAGAAACTTGGTAAATATTTGTAGAATGAATGAATACTAAATGAGGCCACACTATTTTAACCCATGTGTGCATGTGTTTGTTTGCTGCTTGGTTTGGTTTGATTTTATTTTCTATATAAAATTTATCTTTACTGCTTTGAAGAACTTAAAGAACTTTTACTAAAATGACTTATCAAAGCTATTCTCCTAAGTTTCCCTTATAAAAGAAATAAAATAATAGTTTTAGAGCATATTCTATATTCTCAAATTTTATTGTAATAGTAGAGCTTTATGGAAACTCAGGAAAAAATAAAATAATAATTATTAGTAATAATGTAAGTAAAATAATGGTAGTTAGATTAACTATCAGTAAACCTTCAGGGAACAAAACCATTTCAATTCAATATCACATTTTTAAAGTTATCAAATTTTCAAAAATTCTACAGTAAAATTACTTTAAATTAATTAGCTTCACTTGAGACTAACATGCTATGTTACTAAACTTGTGAAATGACTTGATGAAATCTTTTGGTTTTAGGTTTTACTACTAATTTGTTATATTTTTCTGACAAAAGAACATAGATACATCTTGGCAATGCTTTCTCAGTGTTTTAACACATCGTCTAAAAAATTATATATATATATAAATTGAATTCTCCATCATCTTTTGATTAAGCCACTCTCACAAATGTTTGCTTTATGTAGAATTAGTTTTGTGTAAGATTTCTCTGTTCCAATAGCACTCTGTGCTTCCATCTCTTTTTAAAATCATCCATCTCATCTAATAACTTAACCTAACATATTCTCTCATAGACTTTGATTTACTTGAGAACAAAAAAGACAGTAATTTTATTTCATTTCATTAAAACTGGATATATTTATTGTTATAATAACTAAACCCAGATTTTATAAGCAAAATAGCATTTTCATTTGCAACAACATGGATGGAGCTGGAGAACATTATGTTAAGTGACCTAAGTCAATCACAGAAAGACAAATCTCACATGTTCTCATACAATGGTTTTTAAATGTTAGGATACTTTTCAGACATCTAAGAGAATATTAGATTTGAGCCTCTTATGAATGTGTGTAGGTAGAAAACACAAAAATCTGAACACAATTTGGCAGATGCTCAGGAAAAGGCTAAAGCCAACACAATTGTGATAATGCTGTGAGATGATGTGGAATCTTAAAATGGATGAACAATCCCTTTTTCTACACTCAAATCTACATTTATTAATATTTTTAATGATATTCTGAGGAACCTCCCACCAATTCAGAACATTTGTCATGA